CGCAGTGGCACTCTCTACAGGAGTTATATAAAATGCATGAGTCAGTTAAAACATACCCTGTGTAAAAAATAATATATTAAAAGATGAGAGTGACACAACAGAGTTGGAAGACATGCTTCCACATTATCCTTTCACATCCGAAACGTGCGCTGGCCAATTCCTTGAAGATTCCGCGAACATACATATATAAACGGCACCGCCTTCGCAATTTAATTCTATTTGATGGTCTGGCGCTGGCCTGTTAACATTCTTCCTAGATTCCGATATGCAATTTTTTTTCGATTTTATAAATAATAAGCTATTACTTGCACTAAGGTGTTTACATTTCGCGTACAGGTTAATTTTCAAGAAACCCAAACTATTTTACTGTATAATTTTAGGGTTTCAGTTATTTCTCTAAGCTAAAGTATTGTTGTTATTTATTAGCACCACAACCCCATCGAGGCGTTTCGTTTTTGATACGTTCGTCTGCTGTTGCCGTTGCCGTTGCCGTTGCCGAGTAGATTTCACCCGTTGCATTTGACAATTAAAACTCGACTGAAATGGGCATCTCTCAGCATGGTAAACATAAGTCGAGTTTTTCCAAACATGCTACCTCCATGCTCCTCGTTATGGTCAACGGTTTCTTTTGACGTCGGCACTTGCCAACTTTGCCATTGACTTCACCCACATTTTGAAGATTCGCTCGCATCATATGGTTGCACATATTTATGTTTATTTATTGAGGCGCATGCTCATGGTGAATTTTTTGGTGGTGAATTTATTTTGTTTATATTTTGCCAAGATTATTTGACATTTCATTTCTTGTGACATTTCCAGCATAGATAACAAGCGCAAGCGATATTCGGTCTGTTCGTAAACACAATAACTTGCATTAATTATTACAAATGTCAACAAAAGATGTTCGCTAATATAACAATATTTGCCAGTAGCTATAAATTGAGAGAGTAGTGTCTGTAGCGATGTGTAACTTCGGATATAGGCAGATTAGTGCTTGAAAATTAGAGATAACTAGAATTATGTATCTTGGGTCATTGTATACTAGTTTCCATCGACACTCAGCCTCCCTTCTTTCGTGACAACACTGAACCCGATTCTAACTCAAAGTGACTGTGCCAATCAGTAACAAAGTTCTGTTTAAATAAACTTTTCACTGCGGTAAGAAAATTTTAAATTGCAGCTGTGCCGGCTCAGTAATTTTTATTCGCCCCAAGGCTGTAAAATATTACTATCCCGAGCGATTTTTCCTTTCCTTTTGTGTGCTGCCATGCAAATTTTCGTAATATTTCGCCCATCGAAATATGTTAAAAGTGGGTTGTACCTTTTTTTAGCTTTAGTTTTGATGTTGCAACACTTTGTATTGTTATCCTTGCCGCATTCAAATGCCTTTGTTGAGTGCGTTTTCCCGTAATGTATTCAACCAAAACTTTAATCCGGATTAGTATGACGCACAGTGGTCGTCGGAGAAGCTATGTTGTATGCGAAAAACTAGAAGGGCTGTTACGCTTATAATAAAACTGCGGGATCATAAATTTGTTGTAATGCTAAATCCGAATATGCAATAAAATTTATAGTTTGACAGTTGACGGCTGTCAAATCAACTCCCAATTTCTCTAAAATTAAGAAAATCTTTTGGAAAATACCACTGGTACGTTTTTTGACGTGCTGATCACGAACTTTATGTCAAATTAAAACCTTGACAGTTCTTTAATATTCACACGGTGTCATGAGGCTATTACTATATATTTTAAATCTGGCACACCGTAATAAGAGATTGTTATTACAAGCTGTAATTTTGTTCTCAATAGGAATGTTTAAATAAAAATCGTTTGTATATTGAATTCCCCTAAAATTTGAAGCAATTCCCCGATTACCCCGAGAAATTCAAATTCCACCAAAATCGGGAAATTCTCAGCCGGTTGGCATCACTGTTTCCAATATTAAATAATCAGGGCTATGACAGAACCTATCGTAGCTTCGATTTTCGTAAAATCTACGGAAGTGCTATGACAGAATCCGAATGGCTACGAACGTAAGTCGAAATTCGTAGAGAGCCTTCACTGTAATGAAGATTCGTTCAGATACTCTACGACGAGTTTACGCTGTTTACGCGAGTTTCGAAGAAAACTTCGTTGGGAGAACCGCTGATTCTTCCTGTGTCTGTGAAAATCATTTCAATGCGAATGATTTTATTACTTGCCCATTGCAGGCAAATATTTTTAAGCGCTTGCGTTTACACCAAGCTGTAGTTCCCTTGCCCTGGGAGGTTCCTGTGCCTGAAATGCATGAAGCAAACGAACGTTATCTATCATCTGCTGATGCGCAGACGCAAACTCAGTAGGTCTGCAAGAAATAAATAGTTGGTTACAGCGCCAAATAAGAAGAAGACACTTCCAGTTAAACGAGGCTGTATTTGCAAGCATCCATTTCAAAATGTTCACTAAATGGCAGTTTAAAAACCCTTCAAGAAATTGTTAGCTAAGTCTTCATATAAATTTAGAAGAATGAATGTTTTTTAGAATCAAATATTTAAATAAGAAACTAATAGTAGTAGGCAATATTGAAGTAATTCTTAAAATAAGTATACGTACCATATGTATGTATTTATGCTGATGTGTTTCAATTGATGCTAATTTGTAGCAAACATAGCACTCGCACCTCAAAGGGTTAATTTGTTTGTTTACAGCTGTTTGACATTATAACTAGCTACAATAGAGTTCGAGCTAGTTGCCACTTCTACCTTATTAAATATGCCTTGAATTATACTAAATTGTACGACTCGACAACAATGACGTTGCCTATTGTCGTCCAGAAATAAGTAAATCACGAAAATCATCGAAAACTATCCAGTGCTGCCAAGTTGTTCCGTTTTAATACACCAGTTGAATTTTGGGCGATTAGTTGACACCAAGTGATTGTTGTTTTCAACTAAAAGTTGCCTGTAAAATCGCCACACCTAAGCACCGCATCAGGCTCGACTCTTGAATGACGACTATCACTCGAGACGACACTCGCAATGAGGCTATATTTTAAAATGGGAAAATAACACTCAATTACATATACTAATTACCACCTCTGAACGAAAAAATAAAAATCATAAAATAATCATTAAATGCTGATTTAAATTATTTTACTTATGATTACGGTCCCTGATTTATTGTCCTTAATTTTGTACAAAGTTTGATTCATAAGGTTTTTTTTGTACCGAATTAGCTGCAGTGACTCAAAGAAGGGTTCACATGTGTTTACTTTTTTTAATAGTCACGATGTTTTTTAAGCTAAATTTTTCTTGTTATGTTTTACAAAGATATTGTTCATGCTTTAAACAAATCTATGAAATATATATATATGTATATATTGTTGCCTTTAATCGTTTTACCTGGGGTTTTTTTTTTATCTGAAAAATCTAATAAATATATTAATTGAGATGATTTACTTTCAGGCTTGGACATTTTCAGTTACTTTGCTACCTTTTAATCTACTATTTGTGAAATTTGCAAACAATGTACCTGCTAAGAAGAAAAAAAACATTGAAGCAACCCGTGTGTACTAAGGATTTAAAAAAGCTAATAAAACCTAAATAATAAGCTTTATGTACAGTAAGTTCACATTCACTAAGAACCATTCGCTCTGATGCCCAATTGGCTTCAGTATTTTCTCCGCAGCCAGAACCGGTGCCGGAATCCATACTGAGATAATTGGACGTACTGGGAGCCTTGGGCGTGGTATGATCTCGAGCCGAGCGCCCGGCCAGAGTGCGCTCAAGCTGCCAATCGCGCCCGTTAAGAAGTCTAACGACTTCCTGTTGCCGCAGCCAATAACTTTTACGCCCTTGTGCCATCCAGCGCCTTCGAAAATCAGGACCTTCGTGTCGGTTTCAAGCATCAGGTGCATAAGCTTCGCCTCTACAAGTAGCCAGTGTTCCGGCGTTATGCATATCTTCTAGAATTCGCAACCCGGGTTATCTACTTCTTGTAATATTGAAATGTAAATACAGCTTCTGAATTTGATTTGATGAAATAGTGTAAAATAGCTGGGTTTTTTTTTGCAAAATAAAACATTAGTTTAGATATATAACATGTTTCTGATGGCGCCAGCACATCATCTCCATAGCGAGGCCCAAATGCCTCCTTTCAGGGAGCACGTTATGCTATGCAAGCAGTTCCTAGTACGGTGCCACAGACGTGGGCACCCGGCCAATCACATTTTTTCGGCAGAGCCTTCGCAAAGGCACGCCAATAGGCATCTCTACGAACTTAAGGACGAGGCCTAGACACGTTTGTCTAAAACTACACCGACTCCCGACCTGTGTATGCAGGGAGACTCGCACCACTTTAGCTCAACCCGACACATGCCCGCGAAACTCAACTCAACTAACGTCCCAGTCCAACAGCGTCGAAGTGGTACGTTTTCTCGGCCTTCCGTTGGTTGAGCTTGACGACAACGATTGAGGGACAAGCCGATTAAGATAGGATTAAGTAAGCTGCTACAACGACAACAGTTTAAAAACTCAGCACGTAAGTACAAAATAAATAAATTCTTAGGACAGTAAACAGAGGGAAGACTGATACTCTTAGCAATCGTCATAAGGCAACCTGACATTCTGCTGCTGCTGATTTGTCGTGCATTCTCGTATTTATTCGTTAGTGATCTTCTCGCTAGACGTTGGGACACGAGCTCTACGCGATTTTTGATGTAACTTATTGCATATGTATTTACTTTGATTAATAAATAGATAGTTTAAATCTACAACCTCTGTTTAAATCCGTACATCAGCATAACCTCTTTAGAGAACTAATACATACTTTTTAACCTATGAAACAGCTTTTATTAACAAATAATATTTTCTTAAAGCAAGCGCCTATACCCTTACCTTTTATTTTCCCAAATCCATCGGTGAGGTGTTAATCCATTTTGAGTTAAACTACATTAGTGTATGATTTTCTTTAACCTGCTGATTAAAAATATCTACTAAAATGCAGGTAAAAGACATGTGTACATATGTTTTAAAATTTTTTAATCCTTGACGTAAATTTTCTTAATAAATAGATACAAGGGCAATTGCATTCATGCATGCGCCAAAACCCACTACTATCATAACCAAACATTCAAAACATATGCTTAATAATATACTACATAGTACGTATGTATGTATGTATGTATGAGTAAACAGCGTTTATGTGGAAATGTATAATTCGTAATCTTTATCGTATGCAATTGCGCAAGCTATCGCCGTTTATTGACTCGCTCAATATATTTAGTTTTATTTAAAGCGCGATTTCCGGCATTTGGATCCATCATACGTTTCCAATCTGTTTGGCCCACAACAAAGCCTATTGCCCGCATTTTTTCTTGTGCACGCTTCTCTTCGATATCCGCCCAGCGTACCTGCATAAAAAAATGATAAAGTTCATTAAATGTAAGAATATTGGGTATGTTCAGAAATTATTACGCGTTTCTTTCCATTGGTACTGGTTTTGGGCGGCTGCCAATCGTCCACTTGCAAGAAATCCTCCATTGTGGCCGCTTTACGTTTATGCATCAGCTTATTCGTACCATCCAAACGAGCTGCATTAGGATTTTGAGAAAGTTTGTTTTGTTAAGACCATAAATCTTGTTAATTTCATATTATTTAGAATTCCTTTATGTATATATATGTATGTACATATGTATGTAAATAGCAAACCATAAATATAGCAAATGATTTATCTATGTATTTACTGAGCAAGCATACATAATAATTTTTAGCAAAAAAAAACCGACTTCAACTCCCATATAAAAAAAAATATATATATATCTCATGATCCACTGATCGGATCTCAACCAGATTAGTATGGGACCACCTCTGAGACACTACCTTTCCGATGCAAAAAGAATTATCGAAATCGGTTGACGTGGTCCAAAGTTATGCGGTAACATACATAAAAAACAAACAAAAAAAAAAAAATATTCCGACGAACTGATAACCTCCTCCTTTTTTGGAAGTCGGTTAAAAATAAAGTTATAAGCATAATCACAGTCTGGTACATATCATCCTGCCTGCAAAGGTATATTTTGGTGCATTATCAAATTTTATTTGGGAATTCAATGTATTTAAAATGTTGTTAACGAACAAATGCACTGAAATAAATATACTTTCACAAGGCTATATGATCCTAATTGCGATTACCCTCTATGTGGTTTATTTTGCAACAATACATTTTTTAGTTAGCTATTGGTGATTTCGATCCTTCAAATAATATTAACATTTTAAGCAACCATCTGAATTTCAGGGCAATCATCGCCCCCCCTTTACAAGAGTGTGCCATTTTAAGAAACGAAAACACTATATTTAAAGAATGTTACCAGCCAGCAAAAAATCGGAAAATGGATACTGTTTATTAGTATAAGATTTTATATTAATGTGATAAAAAAAAAATTAAATAAATGGATTGCGCAAACAGCATGATCTCTTTAGCTTATGTAGAATGCTCGTTATGGACAAATGTGGGAATAGTCTCCTATTAGCCCATGAGAAGGAGTTTTGGAGGATAGAAACCCTCTTTTATTACGAGTAAAGAAGGCTGACAGGAGTACTCCCTTATTTCTTGTTTAGGAAGAATTCGGGATGTTTTACTATGTGCATTCCCTTATCTTTTTGGGAGGTTTCTGGGAGATTATTCTGAGAGTACTCGCTTATTGCTCCCTTAGGAGGTTTGTGGGATCATATTTCCGAGTGTGCTCCCTGATTGCTTGCTTAGGAGGTAAACGGGATTACCCGCCCTACTAGGACATACAATATTAAAGGTAGTATACAATCTTACATGCTTATACACAGGAGCATAGGGAGCAATGGGGTGTATTTGTAAACTTGCAAGGGAGTAGTCGCGCGGAGCAATCGTCCGATGCTCCCAAGTTCTAATGGCATATAGTACAAAAACTCACACGTACAAAACAATTTGCAACCTTCTTCTTCTTATTTGGCGCTATAACCGCCTAAGCGATTTTGGCCGAGTTCAACAAAGCACGCCAGTCGTTTCTCTTCTGTGCCAACTCACGCCAATTGGAAATGCCAAGTGAAGCCAAGTCCTTCTCCACCATCGCAGTGAGGGCGATCCCTCTTTCTATGCTACAACCAGCGGGTTCCGAGTTGAATACTTTCAGAGCTGGAGCGTCGGTGTACATGGCCAAGCCAGCGAAGCCGCTGTATTTTAATTCGCTGCACTATGGGTGCGTTCGGAAATGCATCAAGCCAAAGCATCTGCCTCTTTTATTATTTCTAAATTGATAATTGATGGAAACGTCAAACATGCGCAACCACGGTTAAGAGCCGAATTCGAACTTATTTGCGTAAATAAGACATTTCCATCAATTATAGTTTAGAAATAAAAGAGACTGATGCTTTAGCTTGGAGTAAAGCGTAAGAAATTTTAAGAAAAAGCAATTGCTTATTTTTTATTCATACAGCCCATTATTAGCGGTAATTAATGCTGGTTCCCAAGTAAATGAGATTCTCTATTTTCTCGAAATTATAATTGTCAACAGTGACGTGGGTGCCAAGGCGGGAATGTGCTGACTGTTTGTTTGATGACAGGAGACACTTGGTCTTGTCCTCGTTTACCACCAAACCCATGCGCTTTGCTTCCCTATCCAACTTGGAAAAGGCAGAACAGACTTCGCGGTTTTTGTCACCGATGATGTCGATGTCATCGGCATAAGCCAGCAATTGCACGCCCTTGTAGTAAATAGTTCTTGAGCGGTTCAGTTCTGCAGTTCGCGAGATCACCTCTTATAAGAAGAAGAAGCTTTTCTTTATATAATTAGTGTAGGAAACACAGGGCTACACCGATTTTGATGCGGCAAATGTTAAAGATGTTTTTGATAGACGTTTTCCATCAGCTCCAGATTTTGCGAAAAACGTGGTGTGTCAAAAAATCGCGTTTTTTGCAATATTTTAGAACGTCTTGCAAGTAAACCAAAGTAGAACCTTAGCTTAGGCTTAAATTAAAGCTAGAACTACAGACTACTATCCCTGAAAAACCTATTCCTGCACCTTGCCCTGATGGTCACCTATACTCATTTACGTTTTATCGTCCAACAATAAAAAAAAAAAATGGAAAATTATGCAATTGAACAAAAAAAAAATTCTATTCAATAAATGACTATAGGTGGCCATAGGGTCAAGCTGCAGGAATGGTATTTTCAGGGTTTGACACTAGAATGCACATATGATGGCTGTGTGTGTGTGGTTGGAGCATTCAGAACAGCTCTCTGCCTTCAACTTTTATAAGAAAGTCTTATATAAGAGTGTTTTTTTCAGCTTGAGATCTTAATAAAATTAGATTAACCATAAATATGTTGTGTTTTATTGTAAAAAGGCACATGTCGTCGCACGTATGATAATATAGAGATGTATTTCTAAATTTTCATCTTGTGGGAAAACGCAAAGTTTGATAAATTCATACAATTGGTATACCGAAAGACAGTTAGAAAAACCCATATCTTCGCAATTTTTTAGTCATCTATTAGGCTGAACATATTCTAATAATCAAGCTTATTAATTGTTTTTTCAAATCTCCAAAAACGTAAATTTTTAATTATATTTCTATATTATTAAACGTGCGATATTGTCATATTTTCTAAACTAGAGCTGATACAGAAATTGCAATAACAGATTTGAAGTCGTAATTAAAAATTAGGCTAATATCATATAATATTAACCTAATCATCAGAAATGCTATTGTGCGGTGTAATTAGTGCATTATACATTTTATCGCTGTGCGCATTTCAGCATTTTTTTCAGGTTCTCAAAAAAAAAAAAAACAAATTTAACTGCACTGCTAGTTTGCGAGTTTAAGTTCACAGAGTTTCCTTAGTAGAACAGTATTATGGAAAACTACCGTTAGTTCTGTTTAAAAAATTGTGAAGTAATATTTCTAACACATATTTTTCAGTTTCTTCCAGTTCAGTACTTAGCAAAAATATTTTTTTAGTTCATGACTAATTTTTATGTAAGGAGTACACACACTAATTTCTATGTAAGGAGTATACATACATATGTACATACATACATGCATGCATAAATCATCGCCTAGTCCTATACATTTGAGTTTATTCATTGGTGCGCACTTACCTAGACTTTCCGATGTAGTGTCACTTTCCCATTTGCTCTTCAAGAATCCAAACTATTTTGAAAAGTTTATGTATATGTGTAAAATGGTTTTGAAATTAAAAATACGCATATGAATTAATTATACACTTTTAAGAGATGTTAGAAAATTCACTGAAGTAAATCAAAAATTAAGAAAGCGGTATTTGCTATATACTGCAACTGCAAGGGTCAATAATATCACTGCGGTGTTACTGCATTTACGGCCGCTTTTTTTTAAGTAGCTTTTAAAATGTATCTGCCCTTCAAACATATTTGTTGAGAACAAAATTTGTGTGTTAAAGAGCAGACCAATTTAACAAAGTACTTGAGAAAACTGCCCTTCAGAAATATACATACATACATAAATTAAAAAGTACTAGCATTAGCACAGGATTTGTGCCACTCTGGGTTTGGGCTTTGCCAATAGCAAAAAAAAAATGCTTAATCCAAAAACGCAGCTACTGAGAATAACCCAGAGCTACTGAAATCTACCTGGAGCGCTGCCGTGAACTTTTTCTACAGCATATTACCAATATTGTCGTCGATGATGTAGAAACAACATATTTAAAAAAAAAAAAAAAAAAAACAACAAATTACATACTCGTTTTCAACTTACACTAGTTTCAGTATCAGCAGCGGCTTCGTTGCTATTGCTATCCTCAGTTTCGTTATCGGCTTGTGGCTGCGTTAAACTACAATCATCTGGCGCACCACTATTGCTGTTATTATCCTGCAATGAAAACACATCCACAAACCATGAAATAATACTGTTCCATTTTTTTTTCTAAATTCGCTTAATTCGGATACCTTAAATCAATGGTTGTATATTCATGAAGTCGAAGAACTTATACCTCTAATACAAAATATAATTGTTGTGTGTATGTTCATTAAACAAGCTTGAAAGTGTTACAATATATCTTAAACGCTAGAGTTTCCTCATCTTTTAACAAACTTGGCAAGCGTTAATGCTTATGTGACATTTGATTTAATTTTTTTTTTTTTTTTTCAAAGAGTGCAGCAACATTTCAATTGATGTTCACATAATCAAAAGGCAATGTAGACCAATGTACATATGTATCGAAATTTGCAGTTACATAGATAGTATAATAGCACAAATTAATTCCATGTAGATACTCGTACTCGTTCAGTACTATAACAATAATAAATTCCATAATAGATTCTATTTAATTATAAGGCAGTAAGGGACAACAATTTCAGTTATGCAGAATGTGAAAAGTAGTGAAGTGGTGTACCAGAGAAACGACAGTTCTCTTCACTTTCAAAATAATTGAAAAGTGGAAATTTACTTAAAATTTCTACAGTTCGAATTGCTTCTATTAATCGTTAAATAATTTTTATCAGAGACTGTGAATAAAAAAGTTTTTTTTAAGAACTAAAAATTCAAAAGACATTGGAAAAATTGTTGCACTGGTTTCTCGACAATACCATTATATACCCGTTTTATGTTACTCCATTAGCATGCCAGTTTAGTGATCCGTTCCGTTCCAGCGCTGGATCGTCACTCGCATCCATGTCAACACAAGCACTGGCATGAAGTGACTCCAGTAAAAAAATGCATGCCAGTAACTGGATTGTCGGTCTAATTTTTTTAGTCCTGGGAACATTGGAATCGTGACGGCCAATCCAGTGGCATGCCTGTATTAGCAGAACCTGACACAGTGGGGTTGTTCACTCTTGCCTGGTTATCAAGCTAGCTGGTTAAAAATTTGTATTGTGTAGTGTATTTTATTGTCGTAAACTGAATAAAAAAATATAACTACATAACCACATAACCTGATAGCCAGGCAAGCGTTAAAAAACTCAGTGAATTTATAGGTAAGGATATGAAAATATTTACTATAGTTTAAAAATAAAACAAAAATAAATTAATAAATAAAAAAAATACATGTGTGCATAAATACATGGGTGAATGTTGAAAATACCAAAGAACAAAAAAAAAAATTGTAATAAATTAGGGGATTTCAGTCTTCCCATTTTTGAACTACTTATAAATCTCATCCATAACTTTTTGCAACCAGAGTTGGAGGTGGTAGACTAAATTTTGACAGCACTAAGCATTTTACTAACACTAAATATACTCGAACAAATTTGTATTTTCACTATGTATCACCAGCTTAGTTATAGTGAATGATTTTATCACTGCCATTAAAAACTCGATTAACTACAAATAAATTTAGTGGTAGTGAACAAATCCGATTCAGCAAATTCATTTTTATTTCTTCTAATGTTGTTTAAAATGTGGAATACACGAAACCAGCTTGCCGGCACCATCAAGTGATTGTAAATACTTTTTTTTGTTAAAAGATTTTTTCACTATTTTTATGCCAACTTCAGAGGAAAATTTTCTAATTTCACTATCACAATTCTTTAGTGAGGCAATGCGCTCTAACTAACTATACAGTGTATTCCGTTTAGCTGCCTATTCGCTTAGGTGCATTTTCCGCTAACGTGCACAATTTTGCCAAAATACTGCTTCATGAAATGGTTTTTTTTTTTGAGATTTTCACTTTTAGCTGCATTTCCGCTTTGCAATCCTTTCCGTTTAACAGCACTGTTTTTGATTAAGGTTTTTTTTTTGGATTTGTACTAAAAATACTTCGCTTACCAGCACTAAAATTTGTTAAAGGTTATTTTTGCTTTCAACAAATTACTCTTTTTGCGAACCTGTGCGATTACCCTAATCCGAAATCAGTAGTGGCGATGAAGAGGCAGAACAAAATAATAATGTGTTAAAGAGACCTAAAAATAATTACTTAAAATGAAAATTCAAGAAAAACAGCATTTTACAATAATAAAAAAAAAATCACAGTTTTTGTTTTTCTGCTTTGCTGCACATTTCGCTTAAGTGCAAAAATCATTTGCAGTGGAAGTAAATTAAATGCAGCTAAACGGAATATACTGTAATTGTAAACTAAAAATTTGGTTCTCTCCGCCCAACTCTGTTTGTAACGCTAACAATTGAGCCTATTTAAAAAATTTTAGCTGCATTTATTTTCCATTCATTTTCACTTGAACGACTTTTAAATTTGGGTTAATTTAAATAGTTGACATTTTAGTGCAGTGCTGGAGTGGATCACTGGACTGGCAAGCTACTGGCAGCGGGTCGTCATATCTCAATGTAGTCGTAGCCCAATGTAGTATTTAATTTCCTCATGATTGGTAAAAACCATGATAAACAAAATAGAAGGTACTTAGTTTCACTTCAAAGTTTTTTGACGGATACAGCCATTTTTGAACTTTCATAATTTGTAGATATTAAAAGCGCCGTTGCCAAATTGTTAGTAATAAATTTTAAATTAAGTATTGTATTTCGGGATGGGAGATTTTGCTGTTTTTAATGGGCCTTAGTCTTTCCCGACCATCCTAGTACCTGATAAGAAAAAGGTAGTTCCACTTTACCATTTTTTACTGATACTGGCATTCTTAAAGTTTTAAAATTTATAGCAACTATGATTATAAAGACATGCCGTTTTATGACATTAAATAGTACAAAAAACTATATACTATTTCTTAAAAAACGATATGATGGATTTTATCCAAAGTCTCGGATAATTTAACTAGTTCACTAACTTCTTAAAGTGTTTTATTTTTATTGTTTATTGTTAATTATTTTTAAATTTACGAAGAATTTCCTTTAGTAAAATTTTGTCAATTGTTACATTTGTCAACAATTTTGCAACCACTTTGAATGACTTTTTTACTGAAGTAATGATACTTTTTACTCAGATATCAAAAAATGGATAACGCCATTTGAAAGATCTTGATTAGTTTAGTATGACTGCATTATTAACTCAATGTTTACTAAATTAATGATAAAATAAATTTTAGTCAATATCTTGGAAACTAAAGGGGATATCAGAAAACTGGTAATACCAATCGAAAGTTATTTTCTTAAAATATATAACTGCATCTAATAAATCATCAAAATGGCGCTTACGGCAATCCTTTATCTCGGCGACGATATATACATACATTGCTATTCATTCGCATTTAATATAACAGCTTTTTATTAATACCTCGTTTCCTGCGGCACTGTACTTTTACCAAAAAGGGTTTTTTTTTATAACAGTACTAGTAGTATCCATTGGAACAAATAAATAGTCCTTTAGGAAGATTTTCTTCATTGACGTCACAAGCTTCTTCTGGCAGCTTTATTTCGACTAAGTTGGCGACTAAAATCCTTGAGTGAAAAAATACCTTCTATTTTGGTACCATGGTAAAAACTTGACTTTTATTAAATTCACCAAGAAATAACGATAATTGTTTGTTTTTTATTTTTTAAGGCAAAAAATAAAAGCAGATGGATTGCCTGATTTTTTTTAGCAGAAAATAAACGGTAATATATTTGTATCTTTATTTCACAGGAATTGATAATAAAATAAAATTTATATCGACCAGCAAGAGGGGTTCTCGAGATTTTTTTTCGGGACCTTTTCGTCATGTTTTACTTTTCAAGCCTTTTCGGGAATTTTCAAGATTCTTCTTTATGGGATTTTTCGTGAAGTTTGAAATTTTTTCAGGACTGGATTTTTCCGAGAATTTTATATTTGCAACTTTTCACGGTTCCATGCGTATATTTTTTTACTTTTCGCGGGCACTTTCTAGTTTGTTCCTGTTTAACTTTTCGGCATTTTCCCGGGAACTTTTGGATGGTTCGTGAAACTTTTGGAAACTTTCCGATTTCTTTATGGTTTCCTTTCTGGATTACTTTGAAATTTTTACAAGACTTTTCCGAACGTTTTTTGGTATTTTTGCTAGGACTTTTCGTTAACTTTCAAGTGCAAAGCACTTTTAAGTTTTAAGTTTGTTTTTTTATGAATGGCTAGAAAAAAACTACCGATTATTTTCTGCTAACAAGTAATTAACAAAAAAAAAAAAAACCGAAATCAAAGAGTTCCCATATTTTGTCAAAATGGACCGAAATCGTCATCGATATGGGAAACTTACGCACATAAAAAAATATTCCGGTTGAATGTAAACCTCCGACTCTTTGAGGTCGGTAAAAAAAAAAAAATCAAACTGTATCTTTTAACTTTGCAGTAAAAAATTAAAAGCAAAAATTAACCGGTATTTCTTGCTTAAAATAATAAAAGTCAAAAAATTACTTAAAAATATTTGGCTGTAATTATAAAAGTCATACTCGGGGTAGGGTATCTGGTTTCTTATTCCGCTAAATTTTCAATGAAATACAAGAAAATTGGTTTATATGGTAAAATTTTCCAAATAAGTATGTATAATATGATTCCAACCACTCCTTTTAATAGCAAATTTTTAGCAACACGTTAACACATAAGTTATTGTGTATTTTATTAATTGAGGTGTTTACACAGATGAACGCTCTTACGCCATCGTGGCTGCTGTAAAAAATTGATTCAGCCACTTACAATATCATTTATTTTGAAGAAATTGTTTCTTAAAACTTTGGGTTTTATACATACATAGATCTGAGGGTCTGGAAGAGTGCTTGGTTTTTTTTTTTTTAGGGTTGGAAGGGAAAAAGTTCTTCGTTTTATTTAAGTTTGTACTAGTCTTTCTATAAAGCCACATTCGAGTACAATAAGACTGAGACTGCTTGTAAGAACGTGAATTTGGGGAAAACTTTTCACTGCGTAGGGCGGACTTATTTATATTGATCCTAACGAATATGTAACGTTTTGAAGCTAAATTTAATTATTAATTGCTGCAATCATCTGCATTTTCTTTTGGCGGCCTGCTTAATTATATTCATAGTAAATTTGTTTTTAATTAATCATAGATTTGGGTATTCATATATAAGTGAGTTTTTAGAAATAGAAATTTTCTATGGATAAGATGAAATATTAGGTGTTAAAATTATTATTTACCATAACCATATCCTCCGCATCCTCCATCTCTACAAGGTTCTCCAGCAAGGATGACACGTCGAGCTTGATATAATGTAGCGGCGTTGGCTTCCAACTATCGATTACCGTCTTAACATCCTTCTCAGAACGTTCATGTATGTTGCGACTCAGGCAGGTCTCCAAATCACAAATCAAGTCAACTATATAAGGCTGTAATATTATTATTGAAAAAAAAAGGAAGAAGAGCAAAGCAAGGTAGAATATTCAAAATTGATTAGTATTTTTATTCCCACCAACCATATAGATATGGTCGCGCTTACCATAAAACCCGAGTCTTTTGAGTGACAATAAAATTCATTTAATGTTCGCAACGAATTGTTATTGCAGTCAACTATGATAAAATCGTATAAATTGTCGGAAATTGTTTTCTTAAATGATTTTATCATATATTGCATGTACGTCTCCTCCATTCCGGCATCGTACTCATATAGAACTTCTTTTTTCGGTATCTAAATTGGTTAAATACAACAATAATGTTTTCCAAGAAATATAAAATGCGGTCATTTATTAAGGCTAGCATATTAATACATCACTGCTATACAAAAATCCATTTTTTTTTTTAAT